CTCTTCAAACCCTAATCTCCACCACGAAGACACCAAAACCTCCCCGTTTGGAAACCCATTGTGCAGCTCTCCGCAGTCTATAATAGACCTTGCATACTCATCACTCATTCTCTCTGCACCCTCCTTCACCATCTCCACCAACCTTGAGAACTCACTCTTCTCCAACTCCTCGCACTTCGCCACCGCGAACGCGGTTAACACGGCGTTGCCGGTGTAGCCTTTCGGCAACGGAGGGTTCAGTTTCGAACGTACGTCCACAGCGAATAGTATGGTGGATGACCTAGCAGGGTCATACGGTGCTGATAAGGCCTTGCACCTCCATATATGGGCGGTGATAACGTTAAATCCGGTGGCACTGCCATTGATGCTTCCCTTTGCTTTCTCCTTGAGGCTGAGGATGTTGTCTGAGGTTAGTTTGAAAACCCTAAAGTCGAGTTCTTCTTTGGAAGCGTCAAAGACGCTAGACTCTATGCCTGTGGCTAGATTATCGAGCTCGATCAACTCAGGGTGTGGGAAGGTGACACGTGGCGGGGATCGTGCGGCCAGGAGATGCCTGTCGTGACAGGGTATCACAGCCAAGGGTTTGTTAGCAGCCAAGGCTGCAAGATTGTCCAAGAATGTTTTGAAGCTAAGTCCGTCGAACGCTGTGTGGCTGGTTGCGAAGCCCATTGCGAAGCCACCACACTTGAAAGATGTGAGCTGTGAAGTTAATGTAAGATAATAAATTCATTAGTTATAGTTTTAACGTTGTATTCATGCATGAAATTTAATGTTAATTGAGGTGATTATGCCAACTTTTAGGTTTTTCAGATGATATTGTTGGAGACATTATACTATTAATATTTATATGGATTACAATACTTTTACACCAAGTTTAAAAAAGTACATTCTATGACATTATTTTACATTAAATATGCTAATAATTGATGAAAAAAAAAGATATATCACAACATTTTATAAAAATATCATTCAACATAACAATTAATGTATGTGACAATTTCTGCATAGATTACTATATAAAATTTCATATGTATAATACAATATTTAAAAATATATAAATATTTATTATTAAATAAATATATCTATAAATTGATTAAAGTTATGTTCATAAAAAAATATTGAAGATGTTATTCGACTCATTTTTAATAAACGAACCTTGTCCCGTATATGTATGTTAAAATTCTAAAATCACCAAAGTTAAAAAAAAAAAAATTTAAACATCCAAAGTTTGAAACCGAAGAAATATATTTTCCGCAAAAGAGAAGTACAACATTAGTATGCATTAAATTATATCGGTTTATATAGTTTGAGTATAAGTTAAGAATATTAATTACCCATTTTTTTTATTTACACATAAAAAAATATAAAATAATAAATAATTAAGAGAATGAAATTACATAGATAAATTAATAAAATAAAGAATTTTTTTTGTTATCTCTCTATAGGTTTACAATAAAATAATAATAATAATAATAATTTTTTATTTTTTCTGGTGTATTACTTAATTTAGTGTGATTTTGACATGTTTTAAAGACCAAATGATATTTTGACACTCTCCCTTTCAAACAACTCCTCCTATAATCCAATTTTATTAATATAATAATGATAAAAAGATTTAATAAAAATAAAAAAATTTAAAATTATTATTATAATATTTAAAGTGGGTTGTTTTTGAAAATTATATAGATTTAGATTGTGAAAGTATATTTTCCGATTATTATATTAATAAAATTGGGTTGTATCTATTATTATATTAATAAAATTGGATTGTTGAAGGAGTTGTTTGGAGGGGAGAGTGTCAAAATATCATTGCTCATATTTTTATGATGTTGTAAAAATCCAAGTTCCAAGAAAAAACAGGGAAGGAAACAACTGGAGGAACTGTGTACGATTGAAATAGCCAAAGAAAACTCATGATGCAAAGGTAGCCAGAAGATAAATATGCATTAATTCAAACTAAATTGCATTGTATCCACCACAAAACAAAACCATGCAACATTCAACAAAAGCAAATGCAATAAATGAGAGTTACGAAAAAATGGAAACATTTTACCTGTGCAACGCATAGTGGAAGATCACCTGGTTCCTTACTCTTGTGAAAAAGCTGTGCAAAAGCTGGATTGGGATAAGCTAAGTCTCCAATCTCACTTAGCTTGTACTCACTTGAACCCACCACAAACACAGCACCCTTTGCGCTGCAATCTATCTCCAATCTTTCGGTTTCCGGGTTCAGATTCAATCTTCCGGCTAAGAAGTCATAGAACACAAGAGCATCCTCTAGGGCCTTCTTCAACTTCTGAGCCACCTTTTGGGGGGGAAAATCTTTGTTTGCTGCGAAGAAGTGAACCGTGTCCACGTCAAAGTTTACCACCTTGTCGATGTTTGATAGGAACAAGGACTTCTTCTCAGTTTCTGTGGATGGAAAAATCGTTGAGGTTTCGTCGATGGTCACCTTCAGGTCTTGGAGAAGTGATGGAGATTCTTGGCAAGAGGTTCCCATGTTTGACAAACTGAACCAGAGTGTTATGTTACAGTGAGTACGTGTATGTGTGTGTTTGTGTGTTATGTCCTTTGGCCATTACCTTATATACACACGGTGGGTGTTATATATGTGGAAGCATGCAACATGCACGACGTACCATAACGTGCTTTTATGAGCTTTAAAGGTTCCCATTGTTGCACCAAGTCATACTCGGAAGGTAAGGCACAAAATCAATGGATTCAGTGACATTTGGTATTTGGTATTTGGTACATAAGAAAAGGATGGGTAAGTTTAAAAATAATAATAATTGAAATTGTTTTTTATATTGTTATTTACTTTTATTATTATTACTTATTTATTATTAATATTATTATGTTTAAAAAAATATCATTTTTTTCTATTTTGTGAAACAGAATTGTGAATCTCATCAATTGTTTAAAATATTTGTTTACTCTTTTTTTTTCTATAGAATAAATATCTATAGACGATGTGTTCTAATAGTGAGTATTATGCTATTTCCCTTATTTCTAGTTTTCTTTCTTTCATGTCTACTTGTCATCACTCTCTAGGTACACTTGCTTTTAAGAAGAAGATGGAATAAGTTCAAAAGTATCTCCATGATTATGTACAAGACACTAGTACAGAAATCACTTTTAACATCGGTCTTTCCACATCGGTTCTTTAAGAACCGATGTAGAAAGTGGATTCAAGACTTTCTACATCGGTTCCCAGATGAACCGATGTAGAAAACACTTTCTACATCGGTTCTCATATAAACCGATGTAGAAAGTCATTTTATAAAATTAAGAGAATTGTCACTGGCAAGATTCGAAACCAGTACCTTAGAGTCGGAGGCTGATACTCCAACCACTAAGCTACTAGGATTTTCTCGATAATAACTTATACATAAATTATATTTATATACAAATAAAAATGTATATCCATGTAAATATATAAATATAAAATATATAAATACAAATACAAATACAAATATATTTATATATTTATATGTTGGATGTGAGAGCACGCTCGAGAGTGAAAGTGTGTGTCAAGTGGGTTTTCAAAATTTGATGTCAAATTTGTGAGCGAGTCTCTTTATATGAATTTGTAATTTAATGATAGAATATAATCTTTATAATTTATTTATAATAATATAGAATATAATCTTTATACACTACTAGAAAAATGGTTAATAGTGACCGAAATTAGTGACCGAAAAATTCGATCATCGATAAGTAATCGAATCGATGACTGATTTCCTTTTTATATTTAGTGACTCGATTTAGTGACTAAAATTTCAGATCACAGAAACCAATCACCGATTCGGTCATCGAATCAGTCACTAATTGGTTAATAGTGACCGAAATTAGTGACCGAAAAATTCAGTTTAATATATTTATAAAAAAATTAAAATTATTTTAATTACTTGAATTGATATTTTAAATTTATATTAATATTTTGGATAATTTAATAGTTAGATAATTTTAAGTTTATATTAGTTATTTTTATATAAATTGTAAAGATTAAGTAAATTTATTTTAAAATTTAATTAAACATAATAATATAATATACTATTAACCATATTATTAGTTAGAAATTAATTTTAAGTTTTATCATATTTATTTGAAAAATATTTTTTAAAAATTTAAAATAATTAATTAAAATAAAGAAATTTAATTTAATAAATGTGTTAATATTATTAGTTATTAGAAAATTAAATTTATAATAATAATAATTATATAAAATTATAGAATTAATAAATGTTTCGCTTGAGCGAAAATCCTCTCGCTCGAGCGAAACGCCCCTGCACAAAATATGATCGGTCATAATTGCATTCGATCGATCATAATTGAACGATATCATAGCGGTTCTAGGTTAACCGCTATCTAAGTGAGCTTTTAAAAGCGGTTCATGTGTAACCGCTATCTAAAATGTCTTTCGCTTGAGCGACAGTCTTCTCGCTCGAGCGAAACGCCCCTGCACAAAATTGGCATTCTCGGGTTGTGTTTCGCTTGAGCGACAATCCTATCGCTCGAGCGAAATGCCCCTGCACATATAAAAATATAAATATATAAATATATAAATATATTAATATATAAATATATCAATATATAAATATATATAAATATATTAATATATAAATATATCAATATATAAATATATATAAATATATATATATATATATATATATATATACACAAATATATCAATATATCAATATTATCCCCTCATATATTAATATATCAATATTATCCCCTCATATATCGAGTCATCTGAATCGGTCACTAATATCAGTGACCAAGGAAATGGTGACCGATTCCGGTTGGTCACCGATTCGATCATCTGAATCGGTCATCGACTAAGGAAATACATAAATATATTTATATTTATATTTATATATTTTATATTTATATATTTACATGGATATACATTTTTATTTGTATATAAATATAATTTATGTATAAGTTATTATCGAGAAAATCCTAGTAGCTTAGTGGTTGGAGTATCGACTTTCGACTTCTAAGTGCTGGGTTCGAATCTTGCAGGTGACAATTCTCTTAATCTGATAATAAATCAAATTTCTAAAAAATATAAATAATATAATAAATAATAAGGAACCGATGTTAAAAGCATATTTTGTACTAGTGAGAGATGTTAAAAAAGGTTTATTTTTATATTAAAAAAGTTTTGGGAATCGTTTTATCATTATGGAAGGTAGAAAGTTGTGCTAGTTTATAATTTTGGGAATCGTTCATAAAAATTAAGAATATGTATGCTACACACATAAGAACCAAGTTAAAAACAATAGCATGAACCAAATCAGTAACATATGCGTATGAACCAAATAGAAAATAAATTAAGAATATATAATATTCTTTATTTAACAATTTAATTATTTTAAAAACTTTAAACAAAATATAAATATCTAGTCTGTAAAAAAAATAGATCGATACCTTAAATTATATTTGTTTATGTGAAGCAATTTCAGTTTATTCAATATATGGGGTTGTATTTTTAGATATATGATAATCAGAAAAATTATGCATGTTTAAAAAATATATAGTTAAATAGATTTTCCTACGTATCCATTATGGGCGTAACTTATTTGGAGGTTTCTTCTTTGATATGATATCATGATCTACACCACTTTTGTTGATCATGATGAAGTCAAGAAATTGAATCCCCACGTGCATAAAGTAATTAGCAATCTACATATATACTCAAAATTGACAGTGACAAGTTATGACACTTATCTCCATGCCCCACTCAACCACACCATTATTCAAACTTTTATAGGCATAACTCTACTTTTATATATTTCTTTTTTATGTATTTCATGTGTAATTCAAACTTTTAAGTGACTTTGAACCTTGGATGTTTTAACTATTATAGTTTTTTTTTTCATTATTTTTGTTTCATTGAAAACTCTTACATTTTTCACTTTTTTTACTCAACATATTCCACAAACTAAATCGATTTAAATGATCAGCTCAAAATCTTTCAATATAATATTAGACTTCTTTTCTGAATGCCTACGGAACAATAAATTGAATAAGAAGAACCTTATACATGATGGAATAAAGTTTTGTTTATTTTTATATTATAATAGAGCTTTGATTACTACCACTCAACGATAGCTTTTTCATGAACAAGTAAAATTGATCTCTTATAACTTAATGAAATTAATATTCATGTTTTAGTCCGATGATAAAGTTGAAACAAAAATAAACACAAATATATTATATTTTTAATGTGAAATAAAATATATATAATCTATTTATAAGATATTAAATATTTGTACATAATTAGAAAATTAAAATATTTTATAATTGTATTAAATTTTAATAAAATAACATATAATTTATACAATAATATTTTTTAAAGAGAATAAAAAGAAAATAAATTTCAACCCTTTTCTTGAAGTTAATATATATAAATTATATTCAACTTGGTAAGAAATTTTTTATAATATTTTATTTGAGACCGTCTTTATTAGGATATCGGTTAATTGATTTTCTAAGCGAATCATAGACAATTCTACAATTTTTCCTTATATATTTTCTTTGATAAAGAATCTATCCACCTCAACATGTTTTGTTTGAGCATGTTGTACTGAATTATGAATAATATCACAAACAACTTTATTGTTACAATATAATTTAATAGGTTTGTGGATGAGTATCAAGATCTTGTAAGAGAAATCATAGCATAAACTTTTACAAATTTCAAGTGTCAAACCTCTAAGCTCAACTTTTACGCTTGATCGAGAGACCAATACTCTGTTTTTGTTTTTTTTATTCTCCATGTAATAAGATTACCACTAACATATGTAAAGTAGCATGATGTTGACCTTTCTTCCAATGATCCAGCCCAATCAACATCAGTATATACATTAATTTGTTGATAATTTGTATTTTTGGTGAATAATAATCATTTTTCAGGTGCTAACTTTATATATCTTAAAATATACATAAATGCATTTATATGTTGCTCTCAAGATTATGCTTAAATTTTCGCTAACAATACTTAATGCATAGGCGAGATCTAATATTGTCTATGTTAAGTACATCAATTTTCCTACAAATCTTGGATGCCTTAATTTATCATCTGGGACTTGATCTAATATAATAGATAATTTCAAATCTTCTTTCACTACTGTATTGGCTGGCTGACAAGTTGACATACCTATTTCTTATAACAAGTCTAAGGCATATTTTTTTTAAAACAAAAAAATTCCTTTAGCGTTATAAATACCTTCAAGCCCAATAAATTATTTTAAAGGATCAAGATCTTTCATTCAAAACTCCTTTGATAAATACTCTTGTAACGTTTTAGTTTCATCTTTATCATTTTTTATAACAATCATATCATCCATATGTACAATAAGTGTAATTATCTTACCTTCTTGTTCCTTTAAAAATAAAGTGTGATCTACATTACTTTGATGATATCAAAATGATGTCATAGATTTTATAAACCTTCCAAACCATGCTTTGTGGAGATTATTTCAACCCATA